GTAACACTCCAAAGAGAAAGGAAAAATTGAAATCGCATCATATGACCCCTTTAAACCGCTTTCTACTTGTCAGATAAAAAAGCTCTCAAACTACTAGATGTAAATAAGTCAGCTGATCCTGAAAAATTAGAACCACTTTTTAAAAATTGGCTGCAGATTACATTGCTGCCCCTTTGACATATATTTATAACCTCTCACTGAGTTTAAATGAATTCCTAAATATATGGAAGTCTGCCTTTGTTGTCCCATTGTTAAAAGGAGGAGATCCTTCCGATATGAATAACTATAGGCCAGTTTTTTTTCAAGGTTTTTGAATCTCTCATTAGTGAGCAGTTGATTTCATATCTTACGGAACATGATATTTTATCACATAATCAATCTGGTTTTAGGAAACAACAGAGCACAACCACAGCTGCGACTAGGGTTATAAACAATATCACTGAGGCGCTTGATAAAGGTCATTATTGTGTATCACTTTTTATCAATCTGTCCAAGGCTTTCGATAACGTTGATTTCAGTTTATTAAAAACTAGACTGAAACAAATTGGAATGTCAAATGAGACAACCTCTTGGTTCGAAAGCTACTTAGTGGGCAGAACACAATGTGTGCAAATGGAAGGCCATTCATCTGCACCATTGCAGATTATGAGGGGTGTTCCTCAGAGGTCTGTTTTGGGGCCTCTGCTTTTTATTATTTATATTAATAATCTTGATTTTAATATTGGTCATTTAAATTTTAATTTTTATGCTGATGACACTGTGATTTATTGTAGCACAACTAAATTACACCATGCTGTGTCCTTACTCCAGAGTGCTTTTGATGTTGTGCAACAAAGGCTTTGTGGCCTTTGAATGTGACTAAAACTAAAGCTATGTTATTTTCAAGATCAAAGAAACAAGTGGCAAATCAACTATCACTCAAAACCTCACAGGGTACTATAATTGATGTAGTTTCATATCTTACGGAACATGATATTTTATCACATAATCAGTCTGGTTTTAGGAAACAACACAGCACAACCACAGCTGCGACTAGGGTTATAAACAATATCACTGAGGTGCTTGATAAAGGTCATTATTGTGTATCACTTTTTATCAATCTGTCCAAGGCTTTCGATAACGTTGATTTCAGTTGATTAAAAACTAGACTGAAACAAATTGGAATGTCAAATGAGACAACCTCTTGATTTGAAAGCTACTTAGTGGGCAGAACACAATGTGTGCAAATAGAAATAAACCCTGCTTTTCATTTGAGGCAAGAAGAAGATTGGTTTCTGTCACATTTATGCCAGTCCTTGATTATGGAGACATTCTGTATAAATCGGCGTCTACCAAACTTTTAGGTTCTCTGGACACTTTGTATCACGGTGCGCTCAGGTTTATATTAAATTGTAATGTTAGTACCCATCATTGTGATTTGTATAATAGAGTTGGTTGGATGTCATTATCAACGCACAGACGTATTCACTGGTACCGGTTTATTTATAAATCCATCTTGGCTTTACTGCCTCCATATCTTTGTTCCCTCACCCAGCTCCTGGAGCTTATTCTCTGCGCTCACAGGACTTGTACATTCTTTCGGTTCCATTTGCACGAACTGAACTTGGAAGACAAGCTTTTCAGTTTGCAGCGCCCAATGATTGGAACTTTTTACAACACAACTTGAGGTTACAGACCTTAGTGTCAATGAACACTTTTAGATTCTTGATTAATGAGCTGTTAAAGGAATAATTAATTTGTAAGTGTTTTTAATTGTTTTTAATACAGTGTTTTGTGTTCTTCTTCTGAAATGTAATGCTGCATCTTGGCCAGGTCACTTCTGTAAAACAGATTTTTAATCTCAGAAAGTTTTACCTGGTTTAATAAAGGACAAATAAATAAATAAAATAGGTGAATATTGTCATTTTTGTGCTTCTAGCACCAAACAGCACTGCCTTACCCTTAAAGTATATTCATAATGTATTTAATACTGAAAAAGGACTATTTAATTAATCTGTCCTATCAATGGCAGTTTGGGGGAATGCTTGAAACTTTGAAAACGTGTATTTTTTTTCCCAGTTCTGTCTGATTTTGATAGTGGTATGGAAATTCTAAACTTCACCTTCATCTTAAATTAAATCATTATTTGTGAGTACTAGAGTAGACGCTTCATTGAATTGTTCTTGACTTTTCTGTAGACAAAACGGGAGTAATCGCAGCTTTGCTAGTCGGAGGGACCATTGTGCTCTTCATTATTATGGGCTTTGTGTGGCTGCTTTGGAGGAAATGGTCCAAAATCCCCATAATTCCTGAATTTTTGGTATGTCTTTTGGTCCTTTCGTTGTGTATTTTTATTTTATTTTATTTATTTATTTATTTTTCATTTAAATTCTAGTATAGGCATATTTCAGCAAAAACAAAAAAAGTATTCACCCTTATGGTGGTCCAAACGTTTTTATCACCTGTGGGAATATCCCTATGATAGTGATATCCTATGATATCCGCTTTTATTTTATGAACAACAAACAGAATAAAGCCATACATGTTTGAAGCAGTATGAAGATCAGTTACATTATGACAGAATTTAACATTTTCAGGTGAACTGTTTCTTTAGGAATTGTTCTTTATTCAGCAGTGTTTTGTATTTGTGATGTGTCTGGTGATCTGCTGTTGACTCCCCATCAGCAGAACCAAGACTAACCGTTTGCTCCTTTCCATATGCAGCAGAACGTTATACCTGGCCAATCTCCTACAACCCAACCAGAGCCGAACGCCATTTCCCAAATGACACCTTGGGGACACACACCCCTACTGACAGATGAGATTTTTAGCTATGGTTCTCCCTCCATTTCCCCAACTGAGAAAGACTGCAAAGCAAATACTATCCTTGATGACACCGTAGTGGATCTAACTGAGGTTTCTGAAGAGGACATGGATTGTGAAGACTCTGAAGGCTTTGGCAGGTCGTCTGACTATGACCGTCCCAAATTCCTGCAGGAGATGAGTCCGGGGGACATTACTGAGGGATACGGCCCTCGATCACCAGTGCATTAGGTCTGAACCTGTGTAAGAATGACACTGGAAAGTGTTTGCATTTCTTGTGGAAAGATGGCTTGTTCACACCAAGTCATTGTAATCAATTTTGGTCCATTAACAATTTCACACACTGATCATTTGAAAGACATGTTTTTTGCCATTATTTTGTGTACTCTGTCATCGCCGCGGCTGAAAAGTAGCACATGAAACACTGCTTACATTTATATTTTATTCTTTGATAATTCTGGGGTGGCACAGCTTTTTCTTAGGGTGGCAGCTGCCACCCCGGTAGATCCGCCCCTGGCAGTAGGCTTGTGTTGTGTGCACAGAGACAAAACTACATCGCACCCATTCAAAGCTGTGTACAATCAGACACAGTGCAGAGGGTTCGATTGTGGTGAGAGTGATCTAGATTGTTGCGATGTGCTGCATTGACAGTGTTAACTACAGCCAGGGCGAGTTTCCCCCTAACCTGCATTAAGATAAATTAATGTGTAAATAAAATAATTTTTCCAGGGAGGGGGAAAAACTGTTGAAATGTACACTGTCAAGAGGGGGGAAAAGGGGGCAATGTCGTGCCAGAGATTTACCAGTACCTTTTTCATGATATTTACAGACATTTGCAGTAACACAGTGTTACAGTGTCCTTGTTACACATGATACATGTACTTACTCTTATAATAACAATAAATTATGCATAATTGCATGCAAGTAACCCTAATCCTAACCATATAGTAAGTACATGTAGTTAATTAACATTACTCTTACACTACTTAATATAATTAATATTACTCTAATATTAATATTATGTAGTTAATTAATAATAGTACTTAAATGCATAGGCGCTGATTTATGTGCCTGATTTATGTTTCTGCCGGTGGGTGCTCAACCCCCATCATATATAAATAGCTTCCCGATCCTCATTCACCTTCATCAATAACTATTCCTATTAAATCATCCACCCGCACTTCTCCCTTCCATCGCTCCCTATACCTGTTTGTTGCTTTACAATTAATAAATTGTTGGATTTACCTAACATCCCTGTCCAGAGTTTGTATATATCCTGACAGAAGGACAGACCTGGCAAGATGAACCCGACAGATCCCGATCCATTTAAGGAATCAGTTGAAACGATGAGAAGAGAACTCGCCAGTCACACAGCTCCACCAGTCACCACCACCATGTCTGTTCCACACTCTCCTTCTCCGATCATTTTCACCAGTCCCATGGTCAATCCAGCGCCCTACTCTGGCGCGGCGGAGGATTGCAATGGCTTTCTATTGCAGTGTTCACTGGCACTTGAAATGCAGCCACAGCGGTTTCCTACTGAACGTTCTAAGATCTCATATGTTATTTCTCTGTTAACAGGAAGAGCTTTGCAATGGGCAGAAACTATGCGATATCAGTGTGGTCCAGTTATGCAGTCATTTGAAAACTTTGTGGCCCACTTCCGTGAGGTATTTGGACACCCCATAGGAGACTCCTCCATCTGTGACCAGTTACAGTATATTACAGGGAAGAGCTCAGTCTAGAATTATGCTCTGAAATTTCGAACCCTCGCCACCTCTAGTGGATGGAATGAGCGAGCCCTGCTGACTACCTACCGTCAGGGTTTAAATCCTTCGCTACAACTGCAATTGGCCATTTACGATGATTCCATAGGTTTGGAAAAATTCATCCAACAATCCATCAGTGTCTAACCGCATGCAAAGCTGCTTGGAAGAGACATCTGCCTTGCAATCCTCCGCAACTCACCAACGCATGCCTGAGCGACCCGTCTTCCCAGAACCAGAGTTTGAGCCCATGCAGATAGACAACACCCGCTTATCACCTGCTGAAAGATGCTGCCGGCTGACCCAGAATCTCTGTCTGTATTGTGGAGCTGGAGGGCATGTAATCTCTTCATGCCCAATTAGACCACCACGGCCCTTGGTGAGTGCAGTTTCAAGTCCTTCCATTAAACTTTTCTCCACTGACTACTACGGTTTCAGTAATTACTGCCAACCATGTTGTTACAGTTACCGCCCTCCTTGACTCTGGGTCAGCCGTTAACTTCATCTCCGGACAACTCTGCAGGCAGCTCAACCTCCAGAAGACCTCAACTCCAACCCCGTACAAGGTCCAGTCAGTAACCGGAAGAAACCTAAGCAGAGGCTACATTCGTCATCAAGTCAAACCCATCCTGCTAAGAGTTGACTGCCTGCACGTCGAGTCTTTCTCTCCTCTGGTTCTGGAAGGTTCTACCGTCGCTGTCATCCTAGGGCGCCCCTGGCTAATACAACATCAGCCCAGATTGCCGTGGATTACAGGTGACGTTCTGCAATGGGGTGAAACCTGCTTCCCTCATTGCTTTCCAGAACTACCTCTACAATCTCCAGATCCTACAGCAGTATTACCAGTTAACTCCACAACCATTGAAATGACCATGGGACTGTGCCATCGACCTGGTACCGGGTGAGTCGGTGCCCCGAGGAAGGATTTATCCACTATCCATACCAGAGCAGAGGGCTATGGAGGAGTACATTGAGGAGGCACTCAAGCAGGGTTACATCCGCCCTTCAACCTCTCCTGCCGCATCCAGCTTCTTTTTTGTCACCAAGAAGGACAGAGGCTTGAGGCCCTGCATAAATTATCGAGCACTGAATAAGATCATGGTAAAGTTCCGCTATCCACTTCCCCTCGTCCCAGCGGCTTTGGAACAGCTCCGCGACGCTTCAGTTTTCACCAAGCTGGACCTCCGAAGCACTTACAACCTCATCCGGATACGTGAGGGGGACAAATGGAAGACTGCATTTGTGACACCTGCTGGACACTATGAGTATTGCGTTAAGCCGTATGGCCTGGACAACGCCCCCTCCGTATTCCAGGATTTCATGAATGAGGTGCTCCGGGATTTCCTCAACCGCTTTGTGGTAGTGTATATCGATGACATCCTGATATACTCCCGGAGTCTGGCCGAACATTGCCATCATGTTTCGGAGGTCCTATAGCATTTGCGTGATAACCAGCTTTTCCTAAAAGCAGAGAAATAGTTTCCACCAATCCTCCATCCAATTCATTGGGTATAACATCTGTAAGGAGGGCATTCTCATGGACGAAGGGAAGGTACCAGCAGTGAGGTCCTGGCCAACTCCCACCACCATAAAAGAACTCCAGAGGTTCCTTGGCTTTGCCAATTTTTATCGCCAGTTCATTCAGAATTACAGCTCGTTTGACCTCACTGCTGAAAGGCAGGCCCAAATCTCTGTGGACCTCAGAAGCAGGACGTGCCATGGAACAACTGAAATTAGCATTCACCTCTGCCCCACTCGTTCTCCATCCTGATCCTGAGAAGCCCTTCGTAGTAGAGGTTGACGCCTCCACCTCTGGAGTGGGGGCAGTATTGTCACAGCGGCAGGAGAGAGCATCCAAACTCCTTCCATGTGCCTTCTTCTCCAAGAAACTCAGCCCGGCGGAGCAGAATTATGACATCGAAACAGAACTTCTTGCTATCAAGCTTGCCCTAGAGGAGTGGAGGCACTGGTTGGAAGGAGCCAGGCACCCCTTCACAGTACTAACAGATCACAAAAATTTGCAGTATCTCCGTGAAGCTAGAAGACTTAATCCCAGACAGGCCCGATGGGCACTCTTTTTCACCAGATTCAACTTTATAATCTCTTATCGTCCCGGATCCAAAAACGTGAAGGCAGATGCTCTCTCCCGACTTCATACCCCAGATGAAACTCCGGAACTACCCGAACCAGTGCTTCCCTCCCTCATTGTCAGTCCCATCCAATGGGACATACAGTGGGTACGGAAAGTATTCAGACCCCCTTAAATTTTTCACTCTTTGTTATATTGCAGCCATTTGCTAAAATCATTTAAGTTAATTTTTTTTCCTCATTAATGTACACACAGCACCCCATATTGACAGAAAAACACAGAATTGTTGACATTTTTGCTGAAAAATTTAAGGGGGTCTGAATACTTTCCGTACCCACTGTAGAAGAACAGATTGCTGAAGCTACCCTCTCTGAACCAGCTCCGCCGGGCTGCCCAGCTGGACGTATCTATGTACCCAAAACTCTTCGAGTACAACTTGATACATTCTGCTCATTCTTCATTGGGCACTGGCCACCCAGGGTCTACACAGACCCTCTCGCTACTACAAGAGCGGTTCTGGTGGCCTGGCATGGCTAATAACCGACGTTACGTCCAAGTCTGTCAGGAATGTGCGACATCTAAGGTCCCTTCCAGGTCGTCAAACAGATCAACCCCATCACTTATGAATTAAAGTTATCCACACACTTCAGAATTCATCCCACTTTTCATGTGTCCCTGCTTAAACCTCACCATCCTCCCGTTTCTGTTTCATCTACAGAGCCTGGTAACAGTGACAACCCCCCAGCACCTCAGATTGTGGACATGGAGCCCATCTACACGGTGAAGGAGATCATGGACTCTCGACATCGTGGAGGCCACCTCGAATACCTTGTAGACTGGGAGGGGTACGGACCAGAGGAACGGTGCTGGGTCCCACGTGATGACATTCTGGATCCCACTCTCCTCACAGAATTCCACCAGCAACATCCACAGCGCCCAGGAACAGAGGGCGGCCACCACGATGTTAAGGTCCCTGGCCCTCAGGAGCGGGCCGTGGAGGAGGGGGTACTGTCACGGAGTCACCAGGCTCTCTCACCACCACGCAACGATCCCAATCACCTGAATTCTGAATACCTGCACTCAATCAGCACACCCTCATCAGCCCCAGCATATAAGCACACACCTCAGTTCACTCTTTCTGTCCTTGATTAGGCTACAGACTCTCTATCCTGCGATCTCCAGTATTCCAGCGGACTCTCTCCAGTTCTCCTGTGAACGATCTCCGTTGAACTAAGATTATCTACTTGAAGTTGCTACTGAAAAAGACTTACCTCTCTGGCGCTGAGGTGTGTGCTTCCCGATCCTCATTCACCTTCATCAATAAGACTATTCCTATTAAATCATCCACCCGTACTCGGAGTTCTCCCTTCCATCGCTCCCTATACCTGTTTATGTTGCTTTACAATTAATAAATTGTTGGATTTACCTAACCTCCCTGGCCAGTGTTTGTATATATCCTGACAGGTTTTTTTTTTTGACAGGGTTGCGCTTCACTAAATAAAATGATTTAATAAATACCGGTTTACAATAAACACTTATTAGCGCGTACACAGGACAAAGTTTGAGGGTGCACACGTAATATCTGAGGGAGCACAGAGCCATGATCACTATATATGGGAGAGCAAGCTGAGAGATTCGTGCTGGCTTCCTCTCGTATTACAATAATGTACTCTCGACATTTGCCATTAAAATAACGCCAAAAACTGCCTCAAATGAACTATGAAAACGAGAATAAAGTCGTAAAAGCTGCATTTCCATTTCTTATTGGTTAAAATGACCAGACTATCTTGTGTTTTTCCGTGGGTGCTCGATCATTTCATAGGCGCCTATACTTAAATGTATAACTACACTGTAACAAGGACCCCTTAAATTAAAGTGTAACCAAATTTTTTGCAATCCTAAAATACAGCTCAATGCAATGCGTAATTCTAAATTTAGGTACACCTAAAAAAAATCCTGTAAAAATCAACACAGAAAATGAACACGGTACATTGGGCAGCGTTTTTACAGATTATGCTGCTTTAGAAAGTTATGTGAATCAATTGATTTCTAAAGGAATTGCAAATATGACGCTCTATCAATCAACCAAAAGTTGTAAAAAAAGGACATTTTTACTGAAACATACTCTGATATAGGCATCCGTAAACCAATGAGAATTTCAGAGATTCTGATCCCGAAATCCAATTTGCTGCATTTCCACTCGATTTAAAACTGCCCTGACTTTTCAACAATAAAACACATTTTGCACATACCTGTCTGTTAAACGCTTTGGCAAGGCCTCTCTAGCATGTGTAAAACTGCTTGTGTACGTGTGTTTGAGCCATGACTTTTCTGTTTTTCATAAGGGTATATTGCAGGTTGTTACTATTATTCTTGATTTCATGAAAACACGTGTCATAACATTAATTTACATCAGAGGTGAATGACGTGCTGGATTCAGTGCTGCTGTAGCTTTAAAATTGGAGAACTTTGCCAAGCTGAATATATAACATGATTATGACACTATATGCACACTACTAGGCAGTGGTTTATTGTTACATCTGTAAAGTGTTTGCTGTGATAACACCATATGTTTAAGCAATAACAGGCTACAATTAATATCGGCCAGGCACTTCTCTATAATCTTGCTGAAAATGTTACACATTGTAGGTAGTATAAATAGAACAGCATTACTCTGAATGCCTCGTGAGCAAATATTTCATGATATAGAAAAAAGTGATGTCACTTTTTAGTATTTAGAAAAATGTCAAGATGCAAGTTCAAGGGGAAAAATTGTGGTATGACATTAATGACTTTTTTTTCTTTATGCACTTTTTATTAAAATGGTTCTATTTTTTTCTAAAATTCTTCTAATCTTAAAGTTTTTTTTTCCTTTTTGAAAAATGAAGCAAATTTGCACTTAATCAAAATTGATCAAGAATCTACAATAAAGAAGTCTGACCAGAAAAGGTGACTATAAAAAAGGCAAATCCATTATTACCATAATTAGCTTGGGGCCACAAAAATGACAATCCTACGTTGTACTAACCATACAGCGTATTCTCATTCTCATTCATGCTTTTATCCAAAATCACATACAATACATTCAAGGCATGTACAGTATTTGTTTCCAGGAAATTGCACTCATGGCCTTGATGATTTTACATGTGTGTGTCAAGTTTCTGCACTTTGCACTCTTTTCTGATATAATTTTTTTTTGTGACTGTATATCATGTATGTTTGATGTTCATGTGTTTTTACACATTTAATTCAAAATAAAGTAATTGGCTGGCTGCTTCATTACTTTAGCTGTTGATTAAATCTCTCTGGCACTGAATTCATATAGTTTGTAGGAGAACTGTGTCCTTACTCCACTCAACTAGTGGCTGCTTGATTTGTTAATTTAAAAAAATCTTAAAGGGATAGTTCACCCAAAAATGAAAATTTGGTGTTTATCTGCTTACCTAATATTATATCCCTACTTCCACAATTTTGGTGTAAAAAAAATGGCAAAACTGTTTACAGACCAGCTATTATTATATGTATATGAATATGCATTTAGTATATCCTATTATATAAACTGTATACAAACTATAAGTCAATTCTTCAGTGTAATTAATTGCAAAGAGCACATTGCTTGTTTGATCTTCAAAAAAATAAAAGAAGTCAACAGTCAGCAATATGTGACAAGTCAAAATTCAGCATAGCTGGTTGAGGTGGTTCCTCGTATTGCATTGTTCTGTACTGAAATTCAGTTGATTATCTGTGAGAATATCATATGTGACTTCCTAAAAATACAAAAAGCTTGCTCCATACAGCTGCTGCTGGCAAACGTTCCAGATAAATTATTTGTTATTAAAGTATCTGTTCACAAACCATTCTTAATTTGAACAGAAAAGCAAGCATACTGTATACTGATTTGACATGGCAGCCAATGGACCTTTCTCACATTTCCGGGTTTCTCAGCAGCGGAAGTCGTCATAGTTGGGGAAAATCCGACAGCAGTGAATGGGAGAGTACCACAAATATACTTTTGCATTCCCATTTGCTCAAATACCAAAAGAAAAACTCCACCATAGTGTTTTCACGACTTTCAATCAAAGGGAAAAAAAAATTGAGAGAACGATGTCAAATTTACCGACCCTCCCATAGATGCTGCATTAGAAACACCTTCGCATTGGCGTTAACCACTTTTTTTGTAATTTGATGAAAAGGTGATATAATACAAAGTATAGTGTTATAAATGTACATACATTTAAAAAATATATATATAAATATAAAAAACTTTCAAGGATTTATAATGATGACCGTTGAAGCGCGTAATCACAGTCTTGTGAAAAGGGTCCATACAATAACCACTGCCTTACCTAATGCAGCAAAATCCTGCGTTTGGACCAGGCCCGGTTCCAGAATCAAATCACTGAGGGTACTTCTGAAATTAGTGAGGGTAGTTTTGTCTCGTCCATTGCTATAAGGTTCCCTTTCTAGAGGGTCTCTCAAAGTTGCGTACATCATAGGCTGAAGCTTT